GGTTCTGCGGGGCGCATCGTCTCGGCCGCCGCCGCCTCCTTCTCCGCCACCTCCTCGAGAGCAGCCGCGCGCCGGCTATTTTAGCGCTTGCGGAAGGAAGGACGGAAACAGGTCACATGGAGCTGAGCGCTGCGACTCAGCATCGGGGGACTGGAGCGCAGGGTCACCGGAGGTGGCGCTTGCTCACCTCGGGGTTGGGGGTGGCAGCTCAGGCCCTGCTCTCCGAGGTCTGGTGAGGCTCCGTGCGGGGACGTCAGGGCGCGCAGCGCTCAGGGTCTGTCGTCTGAGTTGTTACTGATACTCTTTTAGGTGCTCAGCAATAGATCTTTTTGTGGGGAGGGGGAAGATGAAAGGAGGGAAGAAAGGGGGAAAAGAAAAAAATGGGAGAAAGAAAGGGAGAGAGGGAAGGAGAAAGAGAAAGAAGAAAAAAAAAGTACAATAGTGGAGCTGCATGGTCAGCTGGCAGCGCCCTGAGCCTCTCAGCACCGCGGCCGGATGGGCTTTAAGTCTCTGATGTGCCCACCATCCCTGCCAGCTCTTGCCCAGAACTCCAATGCACATCAATGACAGCCAAGGGGGAAAGGGCACCAGCTCCAGCCTCCCGTCTCCTGGGGGAACCTGGGGTGTCCCGCAGGGCTGGGTCCCCCTCTTGCAGCTGGGGGGAGGGTTTTGTTGCCCACCCTGAGAGAACAGGAGCAAGTCCTTCCTGCCCAGCCTACACGTAGCCTCTGCTTCCTGAAACAGGCCCCTGTCAAGGGGACACTGCTGGCGCGAAGGTAAAAACCAAGCCAGAGCAAATTGTCACAGTCAGCTTTTCTGGTTGGCCTTTTTCCTTCTGCTGTAGACACATCCTGCACTCCCATGTCTTTACCGTCCACGAATGTGCTGGTGGTTCCCGGGTTTTAATCTCTAGCTCCGAAATTCTCTCCCGAGAGTGAACATTCAGACTCACACTTTTACCTGTCTACTGGTCACTCAGCTCCTAGATGTCCCAGAGTCACCATGACACAATGAATTCCAAGTGGAGCTCAGGTCCTTTGTCCCAGCCTCTTTCTCTCCCCATGTGGCCGTGACCTTTTATGGCCTGCTTTGACCCAGGCAGCCCAGCTCTCAGATTCCTCCTCTCACATTCAATTGGTCTCCAGTTCCTGCCGATTCTAACTCACAAATCTCTCTCTCTTCTTTTTTGGAAACAGAATCTTGCTACATAAACCAGGATAGCCTCAAACTTGCAAAGATTCTCCTGCCTCAGCCTCCCAAGTGCTGGATCACAGACGTGTGCCACCATCTCCAACCAGAGATGAATCCTTGACTCTACACCTCCCCAACTCATGTCTAGACCATTTCAGTAGCTTCCTTAAATTGGCTCCCTGCAGCTGATCTTGTCCCTCTCAGATGAAGACCCCACCCAGAAGCCACTGCCATGGATCTAAAGGATGTCTTACAACCCCTTGGTGGTTCACCTCGGCATTCCTTACCCAGTTGATTTAAACCCAGGTTCTGCAGGTTTAAGAGTTTCTTGTGGGTACCTGAGTTCTCCCCTCATCCTATGTCATAACTTTTAGGGGGGTTCTCTACAGGATTGCTTTCAAGAAAGAAGAAAGGCAGCTGCTACCTTCCAGAAAACTTTAAAAACCCATGGTCTACCCAGACATGATGAACCATGTCTGTAATCCCAGAAGTCTGGGAAACTGAGGCAGGCCTCAAGCCTAGCCCAGGCAATTTAGCAACTTAATGAGACCCTGCCTCAAAATTTAAAAAAACAAAAAGAAAAGGATGGAGATGTAGCCCAGTGCATAGGCTCTCGGTTCAATCCTCAGTTCTGAGAAAAAATGAAAAACAAAAGGCCAGTGGTCTTGACGGTTGTGTTGACAGCCTCTTGGTTGGCAATAGTACCATCCTCTTTCCTCTAACCCTGAGCCGGCTCTGAGGGGACCTGAAGCCTTGCAGCTGAACCAGTGTGGAATGGCAGCTGAAAACAACCTTCCTGGGGCCCATGGAGCTACAACTCTTCCTCTTGGCTGGGTGGCCAGGGCAGGGATCAGAGCATTGCTGTTCAACATGAGCTGCGTGTCCTGCCCCAGCCTAGTACACTCCAGTCCCACTCCACATCCCGGGCCACAGATGCACCTCAGCCATGGGATCCTCAGACAGAGCTAAGTGTCCCACACGTCCACCCCACCCCCCACCCCATCACAGGGCTGTGCAGCTCACAATGGCTCCCCCTCTGTCCAACCCAATCCTCCCCATCCCGGAGCCTGGCCCCTCCTCCTCTGAGCCCATGAGGCTGGATCTGCAATATCTACTGGTCTCAGGGCGACACTTGTGTTGTTTAAATTTTCAGATTTCTGTCTTGTTTCCCAGGACATTCTACACTTCTGAAGGTAGGGATCACACGTTGTTCCAAAAATCAGACTGTCCAATGCACGTAAAGAGGCCCAGTAAATACGTGCTCTAAGAGGAAACGGGAAAAAAGAAAGGTGATAGCCCCACTCTAGCTATGATTCTCTGGGAGCTGCCTATTGAGGCTTCTTTCTTTTTAAACTAAGCTTTTTTATTTTGTTTTTGTCTGTTTGGTTTTTTGAGATAGGGTATCAGGCTGGTCTTGAACTCTACTATATAGCCCAGGCTGGCCTCAAACTCATGGCCATCTTCCTGCCTCAGCCTCGAGTGCTGGGATTACAGGTGTGCACCAAAAACTTCATAATATTTTGTCACTTGTGGGACTCTTCAGGCTCCCAAGGAGATCAAAGGGAACGCTGAGGCCAAGGTCCTGGCACCCTAACTCCTGCTCCAGAGTTGCCCACCCGGCCTGGCACAAACAGGGCAGCCATCCCATGGGCCTGCACAGTGGTGGCCAGGCCTGGCGGAGCCGTGAGTTAGTGCCACCCTTGCTTCTCCTGGGCCCAGCACATGACAGGGAGGGGATTTCCTCTGGGGCCTTCACTGGGAATCCATTGTTCTCTTGCCCCACATCAGTGGGCCGAGGGGAGAGCTTCAGTAGTTTCATTTCCCTCATTTGGAATGGAGTTTTAAGAACCAAAAATCAAAACCGGAAAGAACAAAGGCCACCGCCCACATGGGCAGCACCGAACACCTCACAGTGCCAAGCTTTTTCTAAGCTTGGAAAAGCTTAGAAGCCGGTGCCGAGACCCCCAAGCTCCGGGAAATTTCTTGAAGAGAGGGCTTGGCGGATGGGCCTTCCCGGCAGGTTCACACCTGTCCTCCAGCCATCTGAGGGAAAGGGTGGTTCTGACTCCTTGTTGCCCAAGGCCTCTTCCAGCCACTGACACCAGCCGCTGACCCCAGTGGGGACACCAGCTCTTCCTCCTTGGGAATCACCGACAGTATCATGATGGTCAATGATGACAATCCTTGGAAGTATTCTCAGTGCCAGGGCACAGCTGGCAGTGGGACGGTGGGGGTAAGGAGACCCCATAACTAGCCATAGCCCAGGGCAAAGCCGAGTGGATGGGAGCCATGGACAGTAGGAACAAGGTGCCAGGAGCTGGGTGGGAGGAAGAGAGAACACTGACTGGCGATGTCAGGCAGAACCTTCTGGAAGGACTGGCCTGCACTGTCAGGGATGGGCCTGGATTGGGTCAGAGACTGGAGGAGGAGTGTGGAAGGTGAGTAGTCAGGACACAGCTGGGTCCAGGATACTGTAGGACAGATGGTGGCTCCTTGTTGTGCTCTACTAGGACTTTGTTGACGGCTGGCAAGGGAGATCGTCACCATCTATTATAATTCTGCATTGCCTCCAAAACACAGTGCTGGCAGGCTGGGAAAATGGTTTGTCACATTGTGTTTTCCCAAGCAGTCCTTAGTCTACTACCTTATAGGAGTTAGAAACGATATCTTTCTTTCTCTTTGTTTTTTGTTTGTTTTCCGAGACAGGGTCTCACTATATAGTTCAGGCTGGCCTTGAGCTCACTGTGTAGCAGGCTGGCCTTGAACTCATGGTGATCCTCCTGCCTCAGCCTCTCAAGTGCTGGAGTACGGACCGGAACTGACACACTCAGCAAGATTTCTAAAGTGAACAAAGGTTAGTGTCACTTGCTCCGGATCAGCTGGAGAGCTTGACGACTTGTGAAGTCATTTGTTGGTCACTGAACTTTTTCACAATTCACAGAAATGAGCTAGAGTCCTTACCATTGGCTCGAGGGCTTAAGACTTCAGCCCTTCTATGCACCTGTCATTTCATGCCCCACTGCTTTCGTCTTCATCCACTGCAATCGAAGCATGAAGTTCTTGCAGCCCCTCGAGCCAAGCAGGCTCCTGTCTTGGGATACCTGTCACTTGTTCCACCTTCCAAGGCTGGAATGTCCCCACTGCCCACCCCTTAGCTCCTACCAGGCCTCTGCTCAAGTGATACATCCTCAGAAGCCCTCCCTGACCATGGCATCAAAAGCCACACCTGTCACTTTCTTTTCTCCACTTTGCCTTTTCTTCATATTTTTGTTTGTGTCACTGTTTGATGTTTTATCTACTTGTCAGTCACACACACACACACACACACACACACACACACACACACACTGAATTGTGAGCTCCCAAGGAAAAGAAACTTACCTGTTTCCTCAGTACTATGTCCCTGAGGTGAGAACAGAGCCAGAGACCAGTTGTTCTTGAACTGCTGCGGACTGCATGGAGGGAGGGAGGGAGGGATAGAAGGATGGATGACCTTGCAGAGTAGTTTCAGTAGCGTGGTGGAGTTGAGAGCCAGGATGCACACGCTAATTAATAAATGAGGATGCTGCAGTGAAAACAGGGAAGGGTGGCTACACTTTCAAGATAGATGGTCATTTAGCCAGGGGCAAGTTCCCAGCCACTGGAGAGGTAGAGGGAGGAGGATCGCTTAAGCCCAGGAGCTCCAGGCAAGCCAGGTAACGTCATGAAGTCCTTGTCTCAGAAATAAAACAGAAGGGCTGAGGATTTAGCTCGGTGGCTCCACTGCCTGTTTCGCAAGGGCAAGGACCCGAGTTCGATCCCTGATACCTAAATAAATAAATAAATAAATGGAGGAGGAGGAAGGGGAAGAACAGGAAGAAAAAGGAGATAAGGAGAAAAGAAATCAGGTGATGAAAGGAAGTGTCAGCAAACAGTATGAGAATATCTTCTGTAAAATGGGAAGCTTCATATAAATGTATTTTCCTTGGCAAAACAGCCGAGGGGGAGATGAGTAGATGTGGGACCAAGGGTTTATAAAATGCAGTTTAGCTTTTGTAAAGCCTGGTTTCCTATCCTTGGCAGAGTGGAAGGAATCCCCAAGACCTCGGGAAAGCGAAGGAAGCAAAAGAGGAATGGCGGGTTCCTGGAACCGGGAGGGGGGCGGGTGGGGTCAGCTGCGGGTTCTTGAGAAGTGAGGAAATATGCTCGGAGGGAGAGGAGGAAGTGTTGATAACAGACCAGAGGGGCCCGGGCAGTGTGGCAAGGTGCACACTGCGCAAAGCAGGGGTCTGAAGCTCCGAAATCCACTGCACACCCAGCTACCCCCAGAGGCACCTGGTGACCCTCGAGGGGCCTCCTGGGAGCCTGAGGGAGGAAGGAAGGCAGAGGGGGGCTCGCTTTCGGCCCGCTTTTGCATCAGGTGCGGTTTGCAGGGAGGTGGCGCACGCCCTGGATCTGGGAGTTGAATGGCTGGGGAGCAGGGCTTGGCGGAGACTGGGGCTCCAACTGCTGCAAGGCATGCTGGGAAGTATGGGTTTAACTGGCAGTTGGGCAGTTTCGCCGCAAGCTGGGTGCAGGGGGTGGTGGGGACAGCAAGGCGGAAGCAGGGAGGAGTAATTTTTTTTTTCACAGCAGCATACCAGAGAAAGATAAGACTCTCAGAGCCAGTCGTGACCATCAGCTTAATTCTGCACTCAAAGGCTGAATTTTCACCCTTCCACTCTCTGGGAGAGACTCTTCCTCTCCAACGCTGCGTACCACGGTTACCAAGATCATGGCACCAGCTACGCAATTTCGTTCATCCTGCAAATGCCCTGCCCCAAGACCCAGTGCTCCAGCTCTCCTGGCCAGCGGATCGCCTCCTCTCAGAGATTTCACCTCCCCAGACCTCCCCAAGTCATAATTAGGCCCACCCTGTCCAACCTGCCTTCTCTACTTACAAAAGTGCCAACCTACCTAACCCTTCCCCAAAGCAGATTCCCAGGAAGTACAGTCCCAAGTCACAGCAGAAACGGTCTCAAAGCCCAACACCTCATTCATGAGGGTGGCTGGGTCACCACAGCCAGGCTGAAAAGAACATCTCCTCGTATGCCTTAGATGTGCGAATGATTTAGTACATGAGTTAGATCTCAATAAAACTTATATAAAAATAACTACAAGTAGAACCAGGAAAAAGGAGTAAATTCCATCAACTCATTGCCTCTACCCAGAGCAATAATAAAGCTGTGAGGACCAGAGATGACGGCAGGAAGGGAGGACATGGAAGTCCACAGCATGTGCTCTTAGACCTGCTTTTCTGTTGTTCTTCCCTCAGGAGGCTGAAGCAGGAGGATCACCAGGATCCCCCAGTCCAGCCTGGACTATATAGTGAGCTTGAGACCAGCTTGGACTATGTAGTGAGATCTTGTCTCAAAAAACACAAAACAACAGAAATGGAAACAAAGTCTTTGTAAATAGGGAAGGGTGAAGGAGGTGAAGGGAGAACAGGGTTATGGGGAAAAAATAAGAATGACGACATATCACGTAAAGGTACAAGATCCCAATGATGAATGTAACTGTATTGTTTGCTTTAAATGTACCAATGAAATTATTGGGGGAAAAACAAAACAAAACAACAATGAAACTGTATTGTATAACTAAAATCTAACAATAAAAATATATTAAAAAAACAAAAACAGCAACAATGGGCTGGGGATTTACCTCAGTGGTTCTGCCATCTGTCTTGCAAGCACAAGGTCCTAAATTCGATCCCCAGTACAAAAAAGCAAAACAAAACAAAATGGGCAAAGACCCTGAACACACATTTCTCCACAAGATCTGCTAGTGGCCAATAAGCACGTGAAAAGATGCTTACCATTGTTCAGCATCAGGGAAATACAAACCAAAACTACCACAAGATATTGCTTCACATCTACTATGGTGGCTAGAACCAAAATGTCAAACAAGTGTTGGCAAAGTTGTGGAGAAATTGGGGCCCTCATACACTGTGGGTGAGAATGTCAGCATCCAGAGAAATATTGTTAAACAGGTTGGGAGTTACAATTCTCACCAATTGTTTTCCTGGGTACCCAGAAGAAATGAAAACAAGTTCACACAAACACCTGGGCATGGATGTTCATATAGCATCATCCATGACAGCCAGAAAATGGAAATAACCTAAATGCCCATCAACTGCCCGATGGTGAAATATTACAACCATCCCTTGCATCCTTAGGGAATTTTCTCCAGGACTCTCTAATGCCAAAGTCCACAGATGCTCAGGTCCCTTATATAAAATAACATCACATTTGCATATAACCTCTACTGCTTAAATCATCTCTATATTGCTTACAATACCTAATACAACATAAATGCTCTGTAAATAGTTCTTGTATTGTTTACGGAAGAGTGACAAGGAAAATAGGCTGTATTTACTACAGACATAATTTAAGAATATGTATATATTTTCAATCCATGGATTATTGAACCCACTGGTGTGGAGCCCTCAGATGCAGCCAGCCAGCAGTATATCCATACAATGGAATTGTATTTGACCATAAAAAAGAATGAAGTGCTAGCTAGGCCTTGTGGTGCTGGGTGGTGTAATCCTAGCACTGGGAAGCTGTTCTGATACATGGTGAATTTAAGGCCAGTCTGGACTACATTGTGTGACCTTGTCTCAAAAACAAACAAAAAAAGAAAATGAAGAATTGATGAGTTCTAAACATGGATAAACTTTGAAAATATTATGGTAAGTGAAAAAAGTTGGTCACAAAAATTACACATGATTCTATTTTGTATGTGAAATTTCCAAAAGAGACAGAGGCAAAAAGGTTAGTGGTTTCCTAGGCCTCAGGGGTTTGAAAAAATGGGTTGTGACTGCTAATGGTTTAAGGTTTCCTGGAGAGCTGATGAATGTATTCTAAAATTGTGGCTGTCTTTCCAGTCTGTGCATATAGTAAAAAGAACATCCCCTCATATGCCTTATATGTGCGAATTATACAGTATGTGAGTTAGATATCAACAAAACTTATTTAAAAATAACTACAAAGAGAGCCAGGAAAAAGGAGTAAATGCCATCAACTCATTGCCTCGACTGTAAGATGGGAAAATGCTTAAAATATTTTTAAAAACCAGAATGAAAAAGATTAGTACTTACATGGACACGCAGCAGTAATCTGAAACATACCTCTACACAAAATGTCTTGTTTCCCAGCCATTGGGATTTTTATCAGAAGGGATGTCAGAGCAACTAGCAATACTTGAGAGGCAGCTGACAGAGATGTAGTACTTCAACCTCACTATTTGGAAGCTGTGTGGAGTTTCTCTTTGTAGCTCTTGACTATTTCATAAATACATATTTAGCTTCTCCAAGTAAAAATATTTCACTGCTATTGAATGCTTCCTTTACTAACTGTTTGAATGAGTTTTGTTTTGTTCTTGGTACTGGGTATTGAATTCGGGACCTTTCCCTTAGGAGCCAGGTGAAGGCAGCCCTGAACTAAATCCCCAGACTGTTTAAATGCTTTTAAACACTAGGTTTTGAAGGTTTTAGAGCTATGGGTTTCTTATCTAAAACAGTCATCTGGGGCCAGGGATGTAGCTCAGCAGCACTTGCCTGGCAAGCACAAGGTCCCGAATTGGATTCCCCATACTAGAAAATACAAAAGTTATCGGCCAGGCATGATGGCACATACCTTTAATTCCAGCACTGATGAGGCTGAGGCAGGAGGATCACCATGAGTTTAAGGCCAGCCTGGGCTAAATAGTAAGTTCAAAGCCAACCTGAACTACAGAGTGAGACTTTGTCTCAAAAATAAATAATAAAACACAGGAGGGCCAGGGATTTAGCTCAGTGGTTCTTCAGCCTGCCTTGCAAGTGCAATGAATGACCCAAGTTGGATCCTGGTACCAAAAAAAAAAAAAAAAAAAAAA